TTGCTTTTAATTTTAAAACGATTGTTGGTATACACAATTTTTCCAATTTTAACAGCTGCACTCAAAATAATAGTAGTTCAAACAGAATAAGATCTGATGTCATTACATTTGTTTTATATAACAGCTCTATAAATAAATAAATTTGCATGAATGTATTTGAAAATTTTTCGATTTTATTTAATGAAGAAATATTAGTGATTTGCATTAACTATTTAAGTAGTATTATTATTCTTTTGAACACAGCTGTATAAATACATTTCATAGCCGTCAGAGGCTTCCCCATCGAAATCATCTTGGTTTGTTTATTTGGCAGCAATCGTCTTCTAGAATTCAGATCGCCAAATCGATTGCATCAATCTGAAATTCCCCAACCCCTTGGACCACTCAAATAGCCATCCGAATGTGGTAAAACTTTTAATTGATTTTGCGATTGTGGTTGATTCGATTTGATGGTGAGAAGTCTGATCGACACGCTTGTCACTTCATGTTTTTGGCCATTTAAAGCCGATTAATAAATGAAGGCGACTCTATTTATGGCTGCTTCTTCTGGCATTTGTGGGCTTTCAAGACCAAAAACTAATTCAAAATCTCCGGCTGGACAAGGTCCAAACATTAATCAATAGTAGTAGGCCTTTCCAGCCGCAACATCAATTGATGTCAGAACTAATCGATTTGGCAATTGCTTGTGAAAAGCCCCATTAATTTGCAAAACGACGAAGAGTCTGAGAGGAAATCCATAACATCGGTTTATATTTATCAACAAGTTGTGTGTGCGCGTCTTTTGTTTATACATCATGCTGCCAAAACTTGGCAGGGAAAAGTAAAATTTTAGAAAATATGTATAAACAAATCTTGAACATTTTTATGATATATTTAGCCAAATTGTCGCCTTACTCTGGTCCTCTGACTCAAAAATGTTTGTTTGGTTTGAGGCAAAAAAAAAAAAAAAGAAAGAATGCAAAGTGGTTGTTGCGGGCAAAAGGAAGCAAAAATAAGAGCATAAATCAGAACCCAGGGGCTTAGCATGTCTGTCGAACATTAAGATGCCAAATCCTCAGGGCGCTCAACAAGAATGTTACCTGCTTTGCAAACTGACAAACATTTTTTCCGCTTACTGTACTCCTTGCTTAATTTATATTCGGGATTTCTGGGAACTTGGAAATGACATAAGAGAATTGCGACCGACGAAGAATTTCACAGGCCACAGGCCTCAGACAATTTCAATTTAAATTGATCATTTGCGTTGTCAACACTCGACTCGACATGGCCACATGGCCACTCTCTAGTGGCCCGAAAAATCATTCCGAAACGAGTACTTTTAACGAGATGATTTGGGTATTCCTATTGCTATATCCATAGCTATAATTGTTGACTCTCCCCACGAGAAGCGATGACGTCAGCTGCCGGCAAATGAAACCCCAGCCCAGACATGAAATACATTCAAAAAAATGTCTGTTTGCTTTGGCAATTTCCAACTGATTTTCGTAACTGAGTGCGAGCTTTTGTGCCCGAGTGTGTGCGCTTTTATTTCTATTATTACTTCAATCTTATCAGGGGACTTCACTAAGCCAGCCCATTCGTCATTCTGCAAATGATCTGGGGGGTAAATATTTCTTGTGAAAACCATTAATTCAATTTATACAAGACACGCTGCGGCATATGAATGAATTTGGTGACACACTTGTAGCCAGGTGTGAGCAAAAATATAATACATGAAATTAAATAAAAAAAAAAACCAATTATCAATTTAAATTCTGACAGAGTTTGCATAACCCACATCGAGCTTCATTTCCATTAAAACACGATGCTCAGGTTTAAAAATAATAAAAGTAAAAATGCCTAACAAAGCAAAAGGTAATAAAGAAACGAGACACCAATCGCAGGTGTCAAGTTGGCACAAGAAATAAATATCAACTCCGCTGTGTGTAAATATTTGAGGTTGAAATTAGGCACTTAGGAAGACAAAAGAATTTTGATAGATGAGATGTCGGAACCTGTCCAACGGCTACTTGGCTAAACGACACGATTTTGGCTAATGAACCCATCCCACGCAGTACATTGTTACCCCCTCGTTGCGCTCCCCTCAACTCACCTCGAATTGTATGGCAAACTCATCGAATAGACCTTTGAGATCCCGCTGGTTGCGCAACATGAGTGGCAGAATCTCCTGCTCATGAAGTTCCAGAATCTCCTCGATATTTCCCAGCAGCAATTTCTGCTTCGCTTCGCCACTTAGTCCTTCGGGCAGATCCTCCACATCCTTCAGCTTGCCATAGTTTACCAGTCCCTTCTTCAGGTTATTCACATAGTTCACTTCCGTCTGGATGAGCTCGTCAATTATGAAACTGATCTTCTTGGAGGCATAGATTTCGGTTTGATCGCAGGGAAACAGATTCTCCAGCGACAATGTATCCTCATCCTCGTGGCTGCGCAAATTGTAGGTCAAGGTCAAAGGTTAGTTACACAATCAATTACCATTTAACTGCTAATAAGGGTGAGTTACATGTGTAGTACTTACTACTCATCGCCCAGAGTCTCAAAACTGAGCGTGTGCGAGGGAAAAGAGTGGAAGCCATTGTGTGTTCGGTATGTTGGGGATGAGTTCGCTGCAGTTGTTGAACAGGTGTTGATGGAACCCAATGAGATGCCGCTGGAAAACAGAACAGTACGAAAACACGAGAACAACAAGCCGTGAATGAGGAACACTTGAAAGTGTGCTGCGCATAGTAGCATGCAAATATGAAAATTAAATATAAACCTGAACATGTGTACCTCTCTAATTGAAAGCCTGAAATCTCTAATGTATTTAATGTCTGGCAATTTTTAAAAGTTATTTTCTGTCCTTTTTTATTTAGTTTTTATGACCAATTTTTCGGTGGATAGACAAGACTTATCAGAAAATACAAATATAAGAAATCAAATGTAGCATAAACCTTTAAATACTTCTTTAATTGGAAGTCCGGCAATTTTTTAATAATTATTATCAGCGCCACAGAGCTTCAAGACTTTCAAAAGTGTTTTTGAGTAAAGTTAATAGATCACTTTTCAAAAGCTGATCACAAGACTTATCACAAAAACGTTAATATTTTAATATACTAAATATTTTTTATACTTCTTTATATTGGTTTCAAAATTGTTTCTTAAATGCGTCTTTAATCATGCGTGTTGCCACAACATTTAACTTTTTTTTAACCTTTAAAGTTTTATACATTTTTTATACAAATCAAACTTTAAAGGAAAAATACTAGTATATTTGTTTATATAATTTAAAGCAAGTTATATATAACTTATATTAAGTGGCTTCAGTTATCGACTGCCTAGGGGAAAACCTCAAATATGAAGTGCAAACTTAAGTACAAAACATAAACAAAATATTTATGACGAAATATTGGGAACCCAATTACGATTTAGATAAACCACTTCCTCCGTAAAAAACTTTACTATACATGCAATGCCTTGATAACTTCCTTCCCGTGCAAAATAACTAAAATCTTTAAGTTAAAAATACATTTCTTATCTGTAATCAGTCGCGTAAATTATCTCGGTAACATGTTTATAGTGCATGTCATGAACTCAGCCCCTCCCGACATCAATTACCGTGAAAAGGCTTAAATATAACCTGGGGCGTATACGTTATCTTATCACGTATACGCACTGTAAGTGCTGTGAAACAAGCCAAAGGTCGGACATTCAATAATGGACATTAAATTCGATGGAAAAACAGTGGGCAGCTGTCAGATGGAGAGGCACGTTCAAACAAAACAGTGGTAAACAGTGGGTTAGGGCTCAGCTATCTACCTACCTATCGTTATCCAGCAGACTTATTTGCTTCTCCAACTTGCCGTTGGCCAATGTCGGCGATTTCGGAGGAGTGGTTGCTATAAGTGAACTCTGCGACTCCAGTGGGGGACATTCTTTCACACAGGCTTTATCTACCACATCGATCGACTTCGTTTTATCCGCATTATCGTCGAGTATATGCAAATAAACGTTGAGCACTTGCACTAGAAATATCACAAGAAATGTCAGCGCCACCGAAATCACATCGAACCAATTTAAGGTTAGTGTTGTCAACTCCATAATAGTTGATTTTGTTTTGTTCACAGCTATCTATAGACTTAACCGCCGACGAATTCGACGCATATCGATGGCAAAACGAGTACTCTATATGGCCAACAAATATTCCGAAACCGATCCGCAACGAATCAAACGCAAAACTCGACTGAGCAAAATTTCCTCTGAGCATTGGCAAAGTGTGTGAAAAAGCTTTAAAAGCTCGTACTCGATCGTTCTCTCTTCTTCAGATTCTCTTATAAAAATAAACAAATAAATATCAAAACCTATATAGATGACCACGCGTCGAACACTTTGTTTGTAAACATCAAAAAACAATTGGAAACTGTGAAAACCATTTCAATTTCTGGTCTGGCATTGGAAATTCTATAGGCCAACAATGTCTGTATTACTTTTGCTTTCATCATGGCTATAATGCCACTTAATCGTTTATGGCTCTCCATATTTGCATATCAATTAGTGGGGGCAATAACTGTTATTATGGCCGAAACCTATAGTTAGTTTGCCTTGAACTTTTGTGGGGCAAGCAAACTGGTTGGCTTTTGTTTTGGTTTATCGGGTTTGGGCACTATCCAAATTGAGTTATAAATCACAAATGGCATAGTTATTGTGCAGAAACACAAAAATCTGAATGCATTTCCCTCTTATATAACTCATTTAACGTTTAAGCGTACGGGCACTAAATTCTAAAGTGATGATCTCATACAGATAATTGTCATTTGCATTTGCGAATTTCACAAGTCAAATTGTTTACATTTTATTGGCTTTATCATTCATACAATTGATTTTTAAAACAAATGAAATCAAAAGAATTCCCTGATGAGGCTACAAAAAACACAGAGATTTATAAATAAACATCGAGCACTTCTGGGCGCGATTGATGAGCTGCAAGCCGGAGATCGGGCAAACAATAATAATTGCTTATATTTATTTTTATGCGCCATTTGTTTATTTTTATACATTTTCTTAGTGATGTCACAGTGGCAGTCAGAAACAAGTTGTTCCGCTGTTTTGAGTATTGCGTGTCGTATCATTAACAATATTAAGAGTGATGAGGTGGATTGGATGGATTCGAGATCGGGGATCTCGGGCGGTGGATGCATAACAGCTGCCTCACGTCTGCTTCTCATGACAACGCCGATGGCGTGCGACCTTTTCATGATAGATTCATTTGTTTTGACGTCTCTGAAGCGTGTGATTCCGCTGGCGAAAAGTGGAAGGAAGTGTCGGATATTTCTAAAATATTGTGCACAAATATTTCCTTAATGAATATGTGTGGGAATTAATAATCAACGTAAAATCAGAATCATGGTTTTCTTAATGAGTTACTTAATACAAAAATGTTGGTGACTGTTTAAATTAACAAAGAGCTATCAATAAAATATAAAATTCAGCAGAAGAATGCTGAGATTTGAGCTAAGGCATTTATGTTCTTACTTGCGTTTCTTACAAAGATATACTTATGGCATTGGCTAAAACAAAACAGATACATTGCCTTAGTTAACATTCCAATAACAAATTACTTTCATATATTTTGTATACCTTTTCATTTTATTTATTTTAAACATTATCTTTAGTCAATATTTACACAAAACAAAATAAGCTTAACAAGCTAGGCACAAGAGAACGTTTAACGAATTGCAATTTGTGACAACAATAATACAGGAATATATACACAACTTGACTAACCAACTAAACTTATAATTCAATATTTGGTTATTTAGCATTCAAATCGAAAGATTTTGGCTTGCAATCTCCTTTTGCCACATTTTTTTGTGAGCAGGAATTTGAATTGGCTTAGTGGCCCTCAAATATTGACCGCCTTGGACAAGGGATTAGGTTCCCATTTGCCCATTTTCCATAACCTGAAGAAGATTATCTCCATGTGTTGCTATTTTTTGCTTTACGAGGCCGCATACCAAGTAGTCCTGTTGCTGATTGTCTCTTCGTCTGGCTTAGGCATTATCCAGATGTTACCGATGCCACTGTCTGAACTGAAGCGATTCGAGTCGCGATATAGCGAAAAACTGGGAGCCTTGCGATGCAGGTGATCGTTCTCTCGGGAATAGCGCTCCTGCAGCTTCTGGCGCTCCTCGTTCGCAAAGTTGTTGATCATATCCCGGATTAAGTCCAGCCAGGCGGCAATTTGCGCCGGATCCGCGGTGAATTCACATTCCTGCTGCTTCCTCCGCTCATAGTAGAGCGTAAATGACTTGGTTTTGGCCGAGATGCCAATGTGCTCGCAAGGATAACGTCCATGGAAGATCAGATTCTTGCCTTTGATCTCCGTGTAGATGATGCACTTGTCGAAAATGAAAACCTTGCTCCGGTAGCTGCGCTTTAGCTTGTGATCGAGCACCAGGAACTCGTTCACCTTGCGGAATTTGCCCTGATAGTAGACGTTGAACTGCAAAGTGAGTTGTTAGAAAAATTAGAAAAGTCGAATGAGGTAAGCTTTGTATAATTAATCCATACCTCATGACAGTCCACTATGTCATTGATGATCTCCGATTCATTGGTGGTGGTCAGCAGGAAACGCAGGCGCTTCTCCAAACGGCAGCAGGACTCAATTAGTGGCTTCATCACTATATCACGGTTCTTGAAGAAGGTCTAATTGGGGTTCGAAAATGTATTAATTTATTTGATAAGGTTATTATTAAGTTTTTCTTACATTGATGAACTGCGTCAGGAGCAAAGGATAACGAGCCATGCGTTGGATGGGTTGAACCAAAAAGCTATTGATGCCCAACTTATCATCGCGTTCCAGGCGAATGCTCTACAAAATTGGGCAAATAATATAGCAAATTACTTTATTTTTAATAGGGCATACTCACAGTGAAGTAGTTTTTGTAGAGATCGCACAGTTTGAGGGATTTTTGCTTGTTCATGGTGAAGATAACATATCCGTAAAAGCAGTTTTGCTATGGAATAAAAATAGCAATAAGTTTGTGATTGCTAACTTCACAATTTGTTTAAAACTCACATCTAGGAACTGCAGAAACTCATCGAACAAACACTTAAGATCTCGACGGTTGCGATGCAACATAGGCAGGAACTCATCCCGATGGAACTCTGCAATCTGCTCGATGTTACCAAACAGATCGTACTTCTTGCCACGAAGGCCCAGTGGCAGGTCCTTGCGCTGGAAGATGTTTCCATAGTTCTCGATACCCATAAACAGGTTATTCACATAGGCCTCCTCCGTTTTGATCAGCTCCTCCAGAATGGGATGCACGCACTTGTCGCTTTTGTCGCGCAGCTCAATCTCGACTTCCTCCTCTCTGAAAAACAAAAACAATATTTTAGTAAAAAAAAAAAATGATTGTTAAACTAAATAAATATTTAAGGGGCTATACCCAGTTAAAGCTCAAAAAAAAACCTATATATATTACTTGTATTAAAAATTATTTTGTTTAAAAAAATCTGCCTGTAAATTTATTTTCTCTGATTTTGTTTGGTTGTGAATAAAATTGTAGTTAATTGAATGAAATTATTGAAATAATGGACTTGGATGTGTCAAATAATAATACAAACTAGTCTTTATTCAAGTCTAATTGATTATTATTTTGATTACTTGTAGATTTTTTTGTTTTTAGTTAGTAGTTTTTAGTTAGTATTTTGAATAAATTACAAATAATCTTTTGATGTTAATACTTTTAAATGCTTAATACTCACTCCTCTTTTGGCTGATAGACTGAGTGAAACTTGCCCACCACATGCTCGTTGGTAGTGCCAATGATTTCAGTCTTTCGTCTCGGCGTAGAGCGATAGTTTCTGGGGAGGATGAGAGAGAGATTAGGGTTCGCATTAAAATAAATATAGTAAAGTATGAGTTATCTTTGGCTTAATGGAAATAAAAACAGCCCCGCGAATAACAATAACAACAACAACAAGTGCAGCAGTGATAACTGTTTAGATAAACCCCCTTTCGACTCGGTGGCCGTCGGATGAGTCAGCCTAACAGCCAAAAGGGGTGGTCTAAAGATAAGACCAGTGGCAGACAACCTTTAAGCAGCTCAAAAACAGGCCTAGATAAAGTTGAAAAGCATACATGTTTGCCCGGGGAATGATTCAGAGACCCCTTTCATCCCGCAAACTCCTGATTCTCCAAACGCGGATGCTCTACCCGAGGACGTTCCTTGTCCTCATTGAATATGAGCAGGGACTCCTCGAAAGCCTTGGCCGACCAGGTGACCACCATCAGTATGAAATCCAGTTGCGAGATGATGAACCAGGATATCATGATCAGCAGAAACATGGCCAACGCCGTCACAATGAAGCCCGTCAGCTGAAAAGGGACTTTGCCCAGTTGGGAGTTAGGCCAAAAGGGATTGAGGAGTTCGAGCTACAGACCCCGGAAGCACAGCCATCCAAGGATTCCACATCAAATGAGGACTGCGACATGCGCCAGTGGAAGGAGGTGCCCCCCGAAAGGGACTCCCTGTCCCCGTCAGCCTCGTCATCTCCCTGATTCAAAACATCTTCCGCATCATAGTCCATGTGGCGACCCGAACCTCTCGTTCTTCCCATTTTTTTACCACCCTCTCGGGAGGAGGAGAGCCCATCCCGATCCAGGGATCGCGTTTCGAGTGTCCTGCGCGAAGATCGGGAGCTGGAGGGCGGTTCAGCGCTGGCGGATCTGAAAGAGGGTCGAGATCTGGGCGCACTTGCCGCACTGTAGGCACTTCCTGCATCCGTTTGGGAGTCATTGTCGCCCAAATGCTTCCTCGCCGGCACCGCTGGCGGAATCTTTTTCTTCTTTCTCGTCCGCGGAGGAAATGGATCGTCCTTGGTGTCCGTACCCTGGGAAACGACAATTCTGTCCGTATAGACAATGGAGCGCTGCTCCCGTTCCTGCAGCGCCTCATCGGAGACTCTGCGATCCCGATATGTGCCGGCATTCCGCCCCACCTCCTGTTCCTCGTCCTTCTTGTCTTCGTCATCCATAGTCTGGCTGGAACTGCTTCAGTGCCACCGACTTAGAGAGATACATTTTACGTTTCTTGGCATAGTTCTCAAAACTAGAATAGACAACGAAATGCCTGCTCTGCTTTTAGAGTTACTTTTCAAACCGGTTGGCGAAAATGCTCCAAAACTCAATTAACACTTTGCCAATTAACCTACGAATAGTTGGGTGGTTTCTTTATGGGCAATCTCACATAATTTGATTTTGACACCGAAAAGGAAGCTGAGCGACCGCGAAATCTAGTTAATATAGATTGGCTGAAGGCCAGAGGCGGATTTGTTCTACAGAGCCCTTGATAAAATATACCAATGGCAAACTTTAAATATATATTTTCAATGTAATAAATGTCTACTGATTACATGAAATTTTGTCGTTAACAACGTCTATTAAACTACACAAACAAAAACTATTTTAGTTAAAAACGGAACTATTATTTTCTGTAAGAATACCCTTGTAAACAGTAATAATATAACTGTCTTATAATTTTTAATAACTTGGCAATTTTCATATTAATAACTTAAATCATATTTTTGAAGAGTAAAACAAATAATATAGACATTGAAGCTATTAGGTTCTCCGTTTAGAATATTTATGCTTGTTAAAATAGATATTTTTAGAGGGAACTATCTATTAGATAACACATTTAATTATCACACCCTATTAAAAAGACATATCTGAAAGTACTACATTCAAATATTTTAGTTAAAGTATAATGTATTTGCCTTTCGCCTTTTGTTTTAGTTAGGGAAAACTGTGTATTTGTTAACACATTTATTGACACACTTTATACACATGATATCGACACTCCTGATAACATCTTTCTTTATCTTTATCGCTTTATAAAGGCAAAAAACACAGCTGTACTTTTAACCTTTATGCTAACACGTTTTCCATTACGCATTCTAAATATTTATTCGCAAAGAGATAAAATAAAATAAGGGAATTTAAACACTGCTGCACTTGATAGTTTGTTGGCAATCTTTTAAGTCCAACGCGTCTGAAATACTTTATCATTGTGTTAACATTTACCTGGGGAAATCGTTGCGCATTTTAAACGGCAATGTGGGCTCTTCCTTGGACTGATCCGCGCTAATGGAACGCTGCACCTGGGTCTGCTGGTTGCTTGGCGACTCCTCCCCGACCTCCTGACTGACTGGCAGGATCACCTCCGAGATGGTGTCCGAAATCACATACTCCTCGGCGGCTGCCTGTGAATCCGTTTCAAAGTCCGATATCTGATCCACTTCGTCCTCGGATCGCACCTCGTGAATGCTCTCCCGACCTTGAATGCTGGGTATGGAGCTGCTGCGACTGCTGCCCAGTCCCACGAGGCGTATGCGACGTGGGGGCGTGACCGGCGGCGTGCCACGATCCCCGGCATAATCCTCAAAGGAGGGATGACGACGATTCTCGAGCAACTTAAGACTGTGCCGCTCCTGCTTCAAAAAGCTAATGTTTGTCTTCAGGGTCTCGAAGCGATGCACCTTCTGTCGGACATCCAGGAGGGCGGGATCCGGGGTTTGCGGCGACATGGGCGACTCCGGAGGGTCTTCCACACCACCGCCTCCGCTTTCCGTCGCGTGCATTTTGAGCAGCGAGCGGCGCTGGAAGGCGCTCTCCGTATCGGAATTCACGGAAATCGAGAGCTGAAACGAACTGGAGCTGGAGCTGCTCAGGGGGCTATCGATCCGTGCGGCGTCGTTGGACTCCGGATTGCTACTGGCGAGCGGCGAACTGCTATGCCGCTCCTGCTCCGCCGCCTGCTGACTTATCCGGCGGCGCGAGTTTCTCTTGGCGAAGTTGCGGTTGCTCAGATTGCGCTCCCGCCGGAAGGGCAGTGGGCTGAGATCTTCGTCGGCCATTTTGGCTGGTCGGAGGGGGGCCGATCCTCTCCAGATAAGCCTTATCTTTGTGCCAAGTACGCTCTTTCTCCGAGTTTTCCTGGGTCTCTTCGTTTAAAGGTTTCCACTTCACTTGCACTGATAAAAAAGTGGAATAGTAGAAATAAGTATGTGGCTATTGAAAATTGTAATTTACAATACAATGAAATGATTTAATATCTATTCCAAAAATAGTCAAACGAAATATATACAAAAATATATAAATGGTCTCTTAGATTGAGGGCTTTTAATTAAATGCTATTCTACTTCGTTTTCTTTCCACTGTCATTATCGTGGATTCCCTGAGCAAAATTTTTGATTCTCTGTTTTTTTTTGGGTTTTCCCCCGCCGCTCCAGTTAAATTAAATATTTACGAGCAGCTATTTACTTTTGGTTTTTTGTCCGCCCGCCAAGTGTATATAATGTTTATCTTATTTTTAATTTTATTTTTGTTTTAGCTTTTTTGAGCTGGAACACGTATTCGTATCTCTCTGCTTGTGTTGGCGTCAACTGTTGCGCTTTTTTGCCTTGCTTTTTATTCTTTTTTCTCGCTTTATTACGCTGCAAAACAGACATTTGTAATTAAAGCGATTTATCGTCAAAGCATTATAAATAAAGTATTAAAGTCGAGTGTACAACTAATTAGACATGTAGGGGGCAAAATGTTGACGGAAAGCGAATTTAAATTTTGACAAGGGATATAGATCATTAACGAATAGGAAATCCGATACAAAACCTTGAATATAAAAGTAGTGGGAAACAATATTATAAATGTAAACAGCATTTTAATTGTTTTTATCTGATAGTTGTTCTTAAAGAAGTTTTTAAAAGTTAAATAATGATGGACACTTGGTGTTTTTTATAACCCCACGCAAGAAATTTTGTTCAAATTCAAATTCTAATCCATCTACCCATTGCAGATGCTTAAATATTTGCATAGAATTTAACTAAGAGACAGCAAAGATTTATTTTTATGACAAATGACGTCAAGTTGTCGGAGGTTCGTGACGGAAAGAGAGAGCCAAATCGGATTGCTTTGGGTGGGAAAGGGAGGCACATTCTGTGTGTAGTTAATTATGTGTGACGTTCAGTTCGCTGTTTCTGCTGTTTTATTTGAGCAAAAAACAAGTACAAAGCACTGAAAACCGCAAATGAGGAACGACAAAAAGCAAATGAAGAGTGAACGGCTTGATAGAGGAGGAAGTACGAAGTTCCCTTTAAACAAAAGAAAGTAGAAAAAGTCGCAGAAATGCAACCTTTCGATTCCGGAATAGTAGCTCCCCATTTGAATGTGCCAGTATCAAAAGCACTTCAAATGTACAACTTTTTCCCAAAAAATCTGTGGGGTCGGCAAATATTTGTGCATATTTTTTTCAAAACATCACTTGGATTAATAGAGTTTAGAACTAGAAGAACCAACTTAAATTTTGTTACTATCTGTATTTCGATTGCATTGGAAACAAATGACAAAATAGTTAGATAAGTTCAAACACCCTTATGATTGGCTTTTGCCAATATGGTCTAAAATATCTTGCGTTATTTATCTAATCGGGAGTCTCATATTTGTGTAGTGGTTATAAAACTGTTTTATTGCTGCAATCAGAAAGTGCAGTTCCACTAAAAGGCTTTTCGGCCCTAAACTATAATATAAAAAGAACATTTATTATCTTCATTGACTCATTGAGTGCTTTTTTTGTCATTACGTGACCCTAGCCTAATATTTCAGGTGTATGGGTAACGATAACGGATTAATCTGCTTATGGAGAATCTTGGGGTATTTTTCAATCGTTATTAATAGACCGCAAACTGGTTATAGCCGCCTAATTGGGCATTTGGCGTCGTCACATGCAAGTTCCATTGTGTTTAACTTTGCGTACCTTTCAACTCGAGTGCAACAAAGGGTATATTGCTTTGATGATGAACTAAAACAAATAATGAACTTTTAACATGCTTTAAAGTCAAATCATGAAAGCATGGCAATTATTTGGAACTCCCTGTCGATCATTTTCTGATTCACTTCGTTATCATTCCCCATTCCAAACCCTCTTTATCGCGCATTCATAATATTCGAATGCGTTTTAAAGCCACTTGTAGTTATCTTCGGGGCCTATTAATTAACTTCAGTTATCAAGAACGGGGAAGTTTTTTCTTTGACTATCAAGCAATGTTTATCGAATCAAATCTAACAAGAATAGGTAAACAAATACATATACATGAAATGCGGAACCTTGAATTGAGCCACATTTTGATGATACGTTTTTGCGCCCATTAGCAAAGTCAGCTAACAAAATAGTTTCTAACGTCGTGTTACTGTTTAGTCAGCCGATTACAAAGATAAGGCCAAACAGAATAATGGCTAAAAGTGGGAAAACCGCTCGTTACTGACACGACTCAGTACGGCGACTCAGTACGGCGACTCAGTCCAAAACAGCTTTACAACCGAACTTATTCCAGAGAAATGTCACATTTTTTCGTTTATTAGCTTGATTTCAATTAGAGTTTGATTTTCAGGTTTTTCGCACAGTTCATAATTTTGTGGGCACGTGTTAATGAGACAGTTTTGTAAGCGCGTGTACAGGTTTATTTTTTATTTTAAATTCTTCACTATCTGCCATTCGTATTCGCTTGCCCATTTTGGCACTTACATTGTTCGGTTATTATCGGCTTTGGGTTGGTTTTTAAGGTCACGGTGCACGCTGCGTATACGCAATGTTGGCTGGGTTGAAAACCGTTCTTGGCTGCGATCGCCGAATACGATTGAACAAATTGAGCGACGCTCGTGTACGTTCGCTCACCTGCGCATTTGAATTCGCACTGACGGCGGAATTCGCAGTGCAGCAAGTGCGAGAACTATCGCCTCTCGCGATCTCCAAACTCTCTCTCCTCTATCTACATACACACAGCTGCGGTCAAAAAACTAGTGGTGGGAACAATAAAGTGCTCTAAAACATAACATTAATATAAAGAATAACATTTCTTTTAAACCTTATTTACCAATCAACAATCAGAAAACCTGTTCAGGGAAAATAATCTTAAATATTTAAAAATATTATTCCTATGCTAAATGAGAATTTTATTATTTTAATTTTAATATTTTTCTTAACAAAAAGTATGATATATATAAATATGTTAGAAACATTTTAAAGTTTCTTCTAATCTATGTTTAATTGCTTTTTCCTTAAGCTAAAAACCTACTATTGTTTTGACCGCAACTGTGTATATACATATATATATCTTTCCGCTGCCGCTGTCTGGTTTTAACTGTTTGCCAGGCGAGTTAGTTATAATTTTTTTATGCGCTCACCTTTTTATTATTATTATTTGTATTGCTCTCTCGGGCTTAGCGGTTCCGTTCTGTGTCGCATTTTCCACAGCAAATTATTGTCATAATTCTGCCAGCACCGTCGCTTTTTTTCATTCTTCGGCTTGCCTTTTATTTCTGGAGTGCAATCGCAGGCGGCATAAATTCTTAATTAGTCTAGGCCACACAGAAAACAATTGTGGTATTTTTAACACCTTCCTTATAAGCAAAGACAGTCGAAGCCAATTTTAGGTATATTTTTATACATCATCATGGGTGAAAATGACTTAGAGGAAAAATGCATAAATCGGGCAAACTAAAATCAGTTTAAAATTCTTCTATTTATGAATTAAGGTAGTTGATGAAGCTTCTATTTTATTGTTTAACTTTACAATTTATTTGAGTGTTAACCTTTCAAAACAATCTTTAATTTAAAGGTTAATGATCAATTGATGATAATAGTAAACATTACAAAAAGCGCTTTTAAATTTATATTTTTTCTTTTTATCAGTGCATACATTTTTTGGTCTACTCCAAGAAAGCAAGTGAAAAAGAATGCAAAGAAAATTCCCCCACAACCAGGCAGTCTGGCAAACGAACCTCAAAATCGAAAACGAACCGAAAATTTTCCTGAGTAACTAGCAGTGCGCCAAATAAACTTCGGACTTTTCAATCTCAGGGAAAATTAAACTGGTGAGTTGTTCGCTGTGATTTGTCATATATTTTTCACCTGTTTTACTCGATTATGCAGTCGTCAGCGAGTTTGAAATGTCTGCGCTATCGACAGTGATTGCCATATCTTATCAAAGTGGGTCTACTCGCAATCGAAACAGCCAACACACCAAACTCTGAGCGGAATACACGCCGTCGCATTAAAAGCCACAAATCGGTCATTTGCCGTGGATTTTGGCTTAATTCTCCGAGAACTCTGGGCTCAGTTTTCTGGAGGCTTTTTCTGTTTTGTTACTTTTGCACCGTTTTGCTTATCTTGCACATTTTCGAACGTTCTCCGCCCGGCCAACAACACAAAAAGTGGCCAAGTCGCATGGAATGCTTTCCTCGCAGTTGTGGGAGTCCCATGTTTTTGCAAACTGGTGAAGTCGATGGGGTTTTATTGTATTCAATTGGGTAGAACACATTGGGAACCACATTGGCTATCAGTGAATCATACTTTTCGCCAGTAGTTGGATTACTTTAGATTTTTAAAAGTATTCGTCTGATAAGACTACTAAAATTCTTAGATTAATCAATACAATTTGAGAGCAACATTTTTACCAGGCTTTTTTGTATTTATCCCGAATTGTACATGATGGTTTCACAGTACATTTTTTATTGATTTTTAAAGTAATTTCTCTAAACTCTAAAAGTGACGCCACTTTTTAAATATTTTCAGTTCGCCTTGCCATTCGTAAATTCGCCGTATATTTATGCTAGTGAAGCAAACAACCAAGTCGAGTTTGCTACCTAGTAGGGTCTTTCACCTATCGAACGTTATCAAATACTGCAACCAGATTAAGAGTTGCCAGACTTTAAATGTACGTAAAAGTTTTATATTGTATACGTTATTTTGCTGTACGTTACTTTTTAAAAAAGTTTGTTTGTAACAGCTACAAAAAAATTTGTTCCGCCAAGTACCAGCATTCATAGACACTTTTCTTTTACATACGTGTATTTTTTAAAATTTATTTTCCACTATATTTCATTGCTAAGGACGGAATTCCTTAGGATTTTTATAGAGGTAAAAACAAACTTAAAAATCTATATCCGAAGTAAATTTTAAAAGTGCCCTTTGTTATAAAATTGATAATGATTTTAATACAATTAGGCTTAGGCTGACAACCCTGCGTAGTGAACCTGACGCTTCCCACATAAGTAAACATCTAAGATCCACTCGAATTTCGTCGCAAGGCACCGCCAGTTGAGATCGATCTAAGGCAAAGTCCAGGGCACCGCCATCGAATGTTGGGCGTTTCAAATTTCCTGGCTGCTTAATTCCCGGTTCCCCACTGTCTCTGTTTATATTAACACAAGTAATTTGATTTTGCCTTTATGGGACAAAAATTCCTGCAAATGTGGGAGGATGATGATAAAATGAGAAAGGACTATGCCCCTCCCTATACATGTTTAAGAAGGATAATAGTTTTAATAGTTAATAGTTATTTTCCACATACCTTTTGTTGGCCAAGATAAACAAAAGATGTTAAGATGACTGGAATTGTGTAATTGCAAAAACTATAAACTATTTTCTTCACTAACTTTTTTCCTTTGGCCGGTTTTAAGTTAAAAAACAATATTTAAATAAAAGTAAATTGATTTTATGATATGTAAGTTTCGTTGAAAATACCTTTACAGCTATTACTCGAGCTATGAAAAGTAAATAAAGAAAATATTTTATTGTTACAAAAATATTTAAATATACCTATACCTCTCCTCCGGAAGGTGATTGCGGAACCTATTGAATATTTGTGACATCTCACATCCTCGACTCTATTTAGTTTGCATTGTTTAATCTATTGTTTAATCTATCTTTAAAGCCAGTCAATAAGCTTCACCCACTAAAAGCAAAAACAAATATTTACTACCTTTTTTTGCTACTATAATTGGTTTATAATTAAACTCAGCTCGAATCTCTCCAAAAAGAGAAGAGAGAACTAAGATTAAGAACTCTCTGATTTGCAGACTTGCTTATAAAAATTAATTGCCAAATTAGGAAGCCGAGCTTGTTTGAATATTGCATTCCATCTATTAAAAGAGCGCAAGAAGCAGAACGTACCCAATAACTGGTTAAATAAGTTAACTAATTCATTAACTGCGTTTCCTTTTCACCGCCCACTAAAAAAGGGGGAGCGAGAGTATGTCTTAATTTCTCTCCCTTTCCAGTTAACCGGCCGGCTTGTAAGCTGGGCAGAGAGAGAGCAAGAACTGGCCCGAGAGCGCGATTGGGGGAGCGTATAAAAGCAGCGCCTGCCGGCGAAGAAAGTCAGTTGCTGTGCAATTGTGGCGTCGATCGGTTCAGTGAGTGAAAGCGTGTTCCCTTCCAACGGAGAGTGAGAGTAACGGAGAGTGAGTGCGGAACCAACGCTTTAATTGGCAAATTGAAGAACCGAGAGCCCCGTGTGCCACCGTTAAATTTGGACTCTTTCCCGAGGTAAGCTATCCGTCCTTCTCCTGGAGACTGGGAGGCTGGAACCTTTCAATCCTTCCGTAGAACTCTCTCTATGATGTAATTTACGCACAACAACACAAAGTTTTACCCTTGCCAAAAATTGGAAAACGCTTTTGCGAACTTCGAAGCCGAACGGCGTTCGTTTCGTTTCGATTCGGTTCTAAAATTACACACATGGGTTTTTTGGCTTCGATTGATTTTTGATTTTTGGGTCAATCGATTCGAAATCGAAAAGTTTTGAACTCGTTTCACAGAATCGCAGTTCGCGCGGATCTCTCGCCCCGCTCGCAAGCAAATATGTGAAGGACAACGACGTGAACCGACCCTCTTCTTCTGCCTCTTCAGAGCCGATCAGATCGGAATAAGATATAGAAACGATTAACGCACCTCCGTCGACCGTGGAGTGCGTGAACGTATTTCGAAGCGTGAGGTACTTGAATCGGAATCATCTTGAGTGCAGTGCATATTCAGAATCAGAACGCAGGCTTATATAACCCAAATAAAAATACATTTCCGAAAAAAGAAAAAGTTAAGACAGTAGCGAATAATCTTTCCGAACTGATAATCCGAGTGAATGCCTTTGGAACCCAGACTTTCGAATTCTAGTGATAACCCAATCGCCCAGTTCATCCAGATGGCCGGGTGCACGTGAATCCATAAAGTGCCCATTGACGTTTTCTAGCATCTGTTCCCTGGGTCCTTGACCCACTACGATCTGCGATCTGCCGTTTCCCATGGATTGGATAATCTAAACCTTTTCCCACGATTAAAGTGAAATCATTTCCATTTCCATTTCCCTCGATTTTAGTGCCAAAGTGCCAGATCAAAGAGCCAAAATAGATCAGCAAATCGAAATTGAATTAAATCATGACACCGAAACACAGAGACAGCGACAGAGACAAACCAAATTAAATCCAATTGAAGCTGTCTCATGACAACAAGTGCACTGCAGAGGGGCAGGCAGAAGATAACGCCGAAAAGTCGAATCGATTGTTGCAATTTGAGACTCTTCGAAAGCGAAAATGAAAATTGCAGCGGAAGAGGCGGCCAATTGGGGGGCGAAATCTTTACTGACTGACTGACTGGGCGCCCTGCCAAAATCCGATGGCAAAGGCAAAGACACTTTAGCTATATCGAACCGAAACTGGTTTACGGTCCACATGGATCCTATCCCACGTTTAAATATTTATCCAGCCAGGCAAAAAGTGTCGACTACAATGGAAAGAGGGGCGTATTACCCGTACCTCTTAGCACTCTTCCACCTCCTACTCCTCTGAATCCCCCGATTCCTCAAGAAGCGCCAACGCCCCGAAAAGATATTGAGCCTGACTTTTGCGCGAATCAGCAGAAAACAGAAAAACAAAGGGGGGAAAACTGGGTAAAAGTGGGCAGACGGGTGGAGGAGTGGTGCCAGTTTCTTTGATGTGCGTGGGTGTGTTGTCTGTGGGACAATCAATGCACTTCCGCTCGGGTGTATAGGGAAATACTCTTACTATACCTATATATATATACACATTGTATTGTATATTGCAATTTTATGGTAATTATCTGTTCTGTCAACTTTTGCCTTGACTGCGCTTGATTTATTGCAATATTTTTGAGAAGCCACCAAATAAGGCCAGCAAATAAATAACTGTGGAGAGCAAACATGGCTTCCAAACTAGACCAAATCTTAACTACTAGATTATATCAGCTTACCCCCAGCGGACTTGTTTTCAAATTTTTTAAAATTCATCTAGGAGTTCTTTATCTTTAAGACGGCGTATAAGTATTATAAACCTTTAATTATCCTTATCTTTCACGCACATTCCGACCCACTTCAGCCACAAACATTTGTCACGTTCTTCTTATCAAAAATAACAGGCTATCGGCTGATTACATAGGTTCAAACTTCCAACAAACATAAACAAAAACTGGGAAAAAACTAGAAAATAGCTATTTCACAATGAATTGAAATATTTAGCTTTGCGTATTTCAATTAGACTTTTCTAAAAAGTGGTTCCATTTAATTGAGTTGTACTGTACTACCTTAACGCAGAAGCAAATAGGATTACAAGATTGATACAAATTAATACAAATATTTATCAGTACGTTCAATTGTTAAACAAATAGATAACATACCAAGTGAATGATTAATGTTTGCTGCAATTTTTCAACTGTACCTTTGCAGGGAATTGCATTGAGAAAGCGCAGAGATGGCCGATGAAGCACAAGCACCACCAGCTGAGGGCGCACCACCAGCAGAGGGCGAGGCGCCACCACCAGCCGAGGGAGCCGAGGGCGCCCCCGTCGAGGGCGGAGAGGCCGCTCCTCCAGCCGAGCCCGCCGAGCCCATCAAGCACAGCTACACGCTTTTCTACTTCAACGTGAAGGCGTTGGCCGAGCCCCTGCGCTACCTGTTCGCCTACGGCAACCAGGAGTACGAGGATGTCCGCGTCACCCGCGACGAGTGGCCAGCCCTGAAGCCAAGTAAATATATTTATTATTGAGGTCAAGTAACAAAGAGGTGACTTACTTTCCTCCTCTTCCTCCTCCTCCTCCTCCAATAGCCATGCCCATGGGCCAGATGCCCGTGCTGGAGGTCGATGGCAAGCGTGTGCACCAGAGCATCTCGATGGCCCGATTCCTGGCCAAGACCGTCGGCCTGTGCGGCGCCACTCCGTGGGAGGACCTGCAGATCGACATTGTGGTGGATACCATCAATGACTTCCGTCTAAGTAGCGAACAATGTGTGCCTCAGTTTCATGTTCAGTGTCCTTGATTAACTCTGGAATTTTTAATGTATAGAAATTGCAGTCGTCTCGTACGAGCCGGAGGACGAGATCAAGGAGAAGAAGTTGGTCACCCTGAATGCGGAGGTCATTCCATTCTACCTGGAGAAGCTCGAGCAGACCGTCAAGGACAACGATGGTCATCTTGCTCTGGGCAAGGTGGGTTTACTCCTAAATTTTAATGATTGAGTATGATATTTCTTCGATTTCGTTCGCTTATTTCTGAAATCGTTTACATAATTCTAAATGATTGACTTTTTGGCTTAAAAAATATAAATCTTTATATAAATCTCTAACCTCATACAAGTCGAATTTGATATAATACATCACCGTATCTAAAAGTTTGAATGATTGACGATGGTAATTCTTCGATTCATCACTATTGTCTCTGAAATTGTACAAATAATTCGAAATTATTGACTTAAAAATATTTTGTTTTTATATCTTCAACTTCACTAATACCGAACTTTTACTTAAAATAATATATAATACATCAGTATCTAGAAGATTCTATGGTATTTCTTCGATTACTTTCTCTTTTCTGTAAAATTGTTTAAATTTCAAAGTATTGTTTGACTTAGAAATTATAATGGTTAAAAACTTAAACTTCCTCGATAGTTTTTAGATATTCAACTGTAATAATATCCCATTTTTTTCGCCCACAGCTGACCTGGGCCGATGTCTACTTTGCAGGCATCACCGACTACATGAACTACATGGTCAAGCGCGATCTGCTGGAGCCCTACCCAGCTTTGCGCGGTGTGGTGGATGCCATCAACGCTTTGGAACCGATCAAGGCCTGGATCGAGAAGCGCCCCGTCACCGAGGTCTAAGTTCGCCGCACAGAACTTGGAAGGAGGGAAACCATTGCACACCACTCAGACACACCCGCACTGCAGACATGTAGGCACACACCACCCACATCCGTATCCGTAACCGTACACATTTTGTTCCTTTTTGCGGAGGATCCGATCCGAGGAGCAGCGGACTTTCGCACGGGGTCATAGACGCGTAGGAGTTTAGCACGTATCACTATGGATTAATTTCTTGGTTATAATTCTCTTTGCATGGCGCTATATACATATTTCTATTTCTATTGGGATCCGACAGCGTCGGATCGCCGTTCGTTAGCTTCTTCTGAAATAATGAAAGATAATACTTATTGCACAGTTTATAATATTTTGGCCTACGTTTAGAACATACATTTAGCGCACCTATGCAGACGCGTACTGTAGCTCTATATATATATATATATACAAAATCTACGAGTGGTTCATCTTTTCGATGTATTCTATTATATTTAATTCACTGCGAAGAGCTCAACAAATATTTAAACAAATGCAGCGAATGCTGACAAACAATTACAAACAAATTTTTAGTTTTTTTTTTTTTTTTTTTTAACACGTTATCGCGGCCCCAGGAATTTTCTTCGTCTCATCCAGTTCCCAATTAAATAAACCGCAAAAAAGACTCACATCAATAGAACCGGATATTTTATAAATTAACCAAATGCCAAGCAATATGGAAAATGTAAACTAAAAACAGACTTTAACTGCCAAAATTTCAAATGCACTCAATCACACACATTAATTTATACATTTTATTTATGAAAATTTGTAATTGTATTTTTTAAATATTTTCACAAACACTTTTAAATAAACTAAACACCTAAAAAGGAATGAGCACTTTTTGAAAGCACATCATCTCGTTTTATTTAGAAAATTAGTTGTGTAATGAAAAGTGAACACTTGGAAAGCAGTGATTATCTACTTTTTAAATTAAAGACCAAAAACTTGGGGTGTCCGGGATTAAAATGGAACACTTAGAAAGCAGGTATATTTCTTTTTTTTTTTTTTTTTTTGCTTATTTACGTAATTTAATTCATTTTACCCGCGTTGGTGTTTAGTTTCATAAAGATAATATAATCAAAGGTGGTAAAGAATGCACCCAAGCTACTTATTTTTCATTACAAATTACTTAATTTTGTTCAATTAGAGTTTACATTTTATTACAACAATTTTTGGATAACACAAATTAATAACAAATTTTGTTTGCCACATTGGACTTACATAGCTTAAACGTATAAATGCACAATTGGCCAGTTTTGTTTGATGCCTGTACAGCTAAAGGTCGGGTTTACTGGTGCTTCCAACTAGGTGGACGCTTTTCGAAGAAGCTAGCGATGCCCTCTTTGGTATCGCCCAGCTGGAAGTTCTCGCACATCTTTTCCTGGGCAGCTGCGAAGGCTTGTGCCTGGGACATGGCTAGCTGCTTGTAGAAGAACTCCTTGCCCAGCGAGATGACGGCGCGACTTTTGGCCTTGATGGCGGATGTGATTTCGTCTATTTCCTTGTCCAGCTCCTCGGCGGGAACTGATTTGGTGACCATTCCCGATATGTAGGCTTCATCGCCGGTTACCGGAAGACCAGTCATTAGCATATACGCGGACTTTGGACGCGACATAATGCGGGCAACGGCCACGCCGGGCGTAGAGCAGAAAACTCCGACGCCAGCTCTGAAAAAAAGAGATGGGAATATATGGTTAAAGTGCTCTTAAATGGCGTGTTCCAATCTTACCCAGGCGTGGAGAACTTGCTGTTCTTGGTGCAGACCAACATATCACAGGAAACCACCAGTTGACAGCCCGCAGCAGCCGCATAACCATTAACTTTTCCAATCACGGGCACCGGTAGCTTTTGGATGTCATTTATAACATCGGTTAGCTTCTGGAAAACACAGGCCTGTATCTTGGGGTCATTGTGCAGCTCCTTGAGGTTGTGACCTGCCGACCAGATCTTTCCTTGGGCCGTCAGAATCACGCATCTCAGGTCCAAGTTGTCTTTATCTTTGACCAGGGCATCCTGTAGGGCAGTCATCATGTCCAGCGAGAGGGAATTCAGTGTTTTCGGGTGATTCAGGGTAATCTCCCGCACTCCATGCTCTTCCTTGACCAAAACCAAATCACTGCAAGCATTGCTGGCGCAGCGGAGAAACTGTGGCATGCAACCTGTTGCATATTTTGATATTTTCCGGGAGCTAGGCAAAACACGCAACATCTTTGTTTTGATTTTGAAGCCAGTGTTGGTTAATGGGGCACACAAACAGCTGACCGGTTATCGAAACAGCTGTTAAATCGATAGCAGTGAGTAAAGCAACAGTTAGCAAACGGTCACTCTAAGCCGCTATGTGTTTGCACGACTAAAAGTTTAGTTTAAGTTTATTCGAGTTTTTCAAAGCTTTCCAGGTGATATATAGCTGCCCCACTGTACAGGTGAGTAACCCGTTGAGGTGCGTCAATAACCGCTGCCTTTGTTTTTGCATCAGCTGAGCGAGCGGGCAGCAGACAACAACAATCGCACCGTCTTATGTACTCCATGTACTCCATAAATAAAAGTATATGTGACTAATACTGAGATAGAACTTTATCAGTTGCCAAAGCCACTTGTATTTGTCGCCCCATATTTGCTGCTCCAGAAATCAGTTAACGCATTGAACCGCTTGAGTGCGGATCCACCGACTTCAGCTCAAGACTAAAGGATATACCCCCACATTCCAGCTGCCCCAAGATGCGTCCATTCTCCGGCAGCGATTGCCTCAAACCCGTCACCGAGGGCATCAATCGGGCCTTTGGCGCCAAGGAACCCTGGCAGGTGGCCACCATCACCGCCACCACGGTCCTCGGAGGCGTCTGGCTATGGACAGTGATCTGCCAGGATGAAAGTGAGTTGGGGATGGGTACTAAATGGTATAAAGCTAATAGTAAACCCTGCCAGGAGAACAAAATTAACTTTAAATTAAGTTTCTGATTAGCTCTAATATAGAACACCGAATCAGCTGAGTCAGTAAATAGCTTTCATTTCTAAGTAATCAGGTAATCTTTCGGCATATAACTTGGTAAAAGTATAGGAATAAGATCTCTAGGACAAGAATCGTCCAGTCACTCCAGTCAGACGATTTCTTTTGATTCAAAGTTAGAGGGCAGGGCACATCAATAACTTAAATCCATCAAATTATCTTATCTTGTGGGTGCGTTCGATTAACACCATTACACAAATACAGGTAAACTTCCTCAAAAGTAAATTAATTATGTATCAAATATATGTATTAAATAGGCATTGTAAAGTAGGTCATGAGTGTTTACGGTTTTTAATAATAATTTAATTTTGTACAGTTAGTGACATGGATATTTAAAAATCGTACCTAAAAATAAGTAAACGAATAAGCTATATAAACATTTAATAAACAACACTGATACGAGTAGTTATAGACATTTCACTGTAGTTTCAAACTGTTATTTTCTTATGGAAATAAAAGTAGACTTTAATGTGTACTTTGTGGCTTAAACTTATATAAGCTCGTCGGGTGCCCTCCCCGAACTACTGAATTTAATCTAGCCGCAGATTACGTTCGGTTAAAGTCAAAATGTTTGCTAAAAAGCGTGTAGCAACTCGAAATCAATGAGATATGCAAAGTTCAACAGCAAAGGAAATCGATAAGATTGATACCAAAACTAATGAAATTGAGTAGAGGTCTCCCAACAGCATGACTAATATTTTATATTAAGATTGCTTCGGCTACCTAGCAATGTTTCCCAAAATGGGCCATAAAACAAGGAAACATGCCATGCCTGATAATTCGAGTTTATCGAGGGGTGTCATATACATTTTATCAGGCGACAATGCATCTCAGTAATTTTTCTTTGTTTTTGGTCTATTCAACTCGAGATAAGCCTTAATTGCCAAAGGATTATTAATTTGGAGCCAGAGCTGTGTACATAATTAAAAATGTTCTTAGCTGTACTTATGGGAACCTTTAGGTGATGAAATATACGTTTGTTTTTAACAAATGGTTCGTGGAGTTTTTTGACTGAGAACCACAGTTATTAAAATACTACCTCAATACAAGCAATCTAATTCCAGATTTAACTTTCCTACAGGTCTCTACATCCGTGGCAAGCGTCAGTTCTTCAAGTATGCCAAGAAAATTCCCGCCGTGCGCCGTCAGGTGGAGGCGGAGTTGACCAAGGCCAAGAATGACTTTGAGACGGAGATCAAGAAGAGCAACGCCCACCTGGCCTACTCGGAAACGCTGCCCGAGAAGGGTCTCAGCAAGGAGGAGATCCTCCGGCTGGTGGACGAGCACCTGAAGACGGGTCACTACGACTGGCGGGATGGTCGCGTATCCGGAGCGGTCTACGGCTACAAGCCCGAGCTGGTGGAGCTCGTCACCGAGGTGTACGGCAAGGCCTCCTACACGAATCCCCTGCACGCCGATCTCTTCCCGGGCGTCTGCAAAATGGAGGCGGAAGTGGTGCGCATGGCGTGCAACCTGTTCCACGGCAACTCCGCCAGCTGCGGCACCATGACCACTGGCGGCACCGAGTCCATTGTGATGGCCATGAAAGCCTACAGGGACTACGCGAGGGAGCACAAGGGCATAACCAGGCCGAATATCGTTGTGCCCAAGACAGTGCACGCAGCCTTCGACAAAGGTGGCCAGTACTTCAACATCCACGTTCGCTCCGTGGACGTTGATCCGGAGACCTTCGAGGTGGACATGAAGAAGTTCAAGCGAGCCATTAACAGGAACACCATTCTGGTAATTACAAATCGCTGTTTTATGCCCTAATCTATCCCTTGGTTTCCATCTCTATTTATCTATCATTCTTACCCTTCTTCTCTATGCCAATTAATCGAGCAGTGTATTTAATATTTTGATATTTTTATTTAACATACATATCTAATTTTTTGAATATCCTACAGCTGGTTGGCTCTGCCCCCAACTTCCCCTACGGAACCATCGATGACATCGAAGCCATCGCCGCTCTGGGCGTGAAATACGACATTCCCGTCCACGTGGACGCCTGTCTGGGCAGCTTTGTGGTGGCCCTCATCCGCAACGCTGGCTACAAGCTGCGTCCCTTCGACTTTGATGTCAAGGGTGTGACTAGTATCTCCGCCGATACCCACAAGTACGGATTCGCGCCAAAGGGTTCATCGGTGATCCTTTACTCGGACAAGAAGTACAAGGACCATCAGTTCACCGTGACCACCGACTGGCCTGGTGGTGTGTACGGTTCCCCCACCGTAAATGGATCCCGTGCCGGAGGCATTATCGCCGCCTGCTGGGCCACCATGATGAGCTTCGGCTATGATGGTTATCTGGAGGCCACCAAGCGCATTGTAGATACAGCTCGCTATATCGAAAGGGGGTAAGGTTATTAAAATATTAAATAAAATCAGTTTTATTGGTGATTTTCCTTTTTAGGGTTCGCGACATCAATGGCATCTTTGTGTTTGGCAAGCCAGCCACGTCGGTGATTGCTCTGGGCTCCAATGTGTTTGACATTTTCCGGCTCTCGGACTCGCTTTGCAAACTGGGCTGGAACCTGAATAGTCTGCAGTTCCCCTCTGGGTAAGAGAATCAACTTTTCAACAGAGAAGACCTCTGTAAAATGTAAACTACTTTGTTTTTTTAGCATCCACATCTGCGTGACGGACATGCACACACAGCCCGGAGTGGCAGATAAATTCATTGCCGATGTGCGCAGCTGCACGGCGGAGATCATGAAGGATCCCGGCCAGCCTGTGGTGGGAAAGATGGCTCTTTACGGCATGGCCCAGAGTATACCCGACCGTTCGGTTATCGGCGAAGTGACTCGCCTCTTCCTGCACTCCATGTACTACACGCCCAGCCAGAAATAGACTTCCATCCGCCTACTCTTTCTCCCACACCACGGAGCTAGTGCATTTCCTGTGCCGTATTTAAAACCACCAAACACCCCGTTGTTAAACCTTCCTCAAGAAATTTATTCTAGGCTGCAATTAGTGCTGTAACCGAGGGTACAAAATGTCGTTCTACGCGATCACAATTCTATATATTCATCCCAACTATCAACTTTCGTTGCTCTTGGAGCTATGTTATCGAAAAGTGTGTTTCTGTGTAACTTGCTAGTGAAATAATAAAATAATATTAATCATTTTTGTATACTCGAACAATTTGGTTGCTTATTTCGTTTAGATTTTATATTTTCAATTCATTATTCTTTACAATTGTCTACCTTTTTTTTAATTACTAAGTAATATTTGGTCAAATCAAAATGTAATTTCCTAAATTGTTTTTATACCCACAATTTCATTGATCAATTTGGTACCTTTTAATTTATATTTTGTTTACATTTTCCCACTTCAGCAATTAACAATAATTGCTGCGTGGGTCTTTGCAATCCGGTCTGATCTGATCTGGGCGGGTAAAGTATTTCTTTTCTAACATTTCGCCACGCGTCGGCGTTTTAATTTAGTTGATCTTCGACACGCCCACTTCCTCTCTTGTAATTTATGTAAGTCTCTTCGAATGGCGTGCACAAATTATTTCAAATAAATTTCTATGGCGGAAACATTTATTTCAACAGACTGAAAGACTGTTGTTTTCGGGGCACGCGTCCGATGTCATTTTTCGTATTAAGAAATATTATAAATAGCCAAAGTCGAGCAACAAGTGTCGCACAAAGGTGGCGATCAATTGGCAGCATCAATTTCATTTCAGGCCACAACAAAGACAAGAAGAGAAGCAAAGTTGGGAGAGCCGAACTTTTAATACCCTTGCAGCTTTTACAAAACTTAAATATTCTTTATTTGTATGCGTAGATGTTTAAAACACTGAAACTATGTCGATTTTCCGTTTATTTTCACGTTATGATGAACATATAATATGATGATATCCTAGCAATACAAGTTAATAAACTCTTAATTTAATGTGCTAGTCACGTTGTGTTGCTACATTAAGTTAAAATTTTCTTAATTTAGTATTTATTTCTTTTAATTTAATATATAAATAATTATAAATTGTGATTTAGAATAAGAATATTTTTCTGAAATATTCATTATTTTTATAGAAGCTATTTGATATAGTCGTTAGATCCGGCCTTTTCCTACTAGTACATTGGTAGCGATGCAATAGAAAAAAAATTTTTGTGAAAATTTCATTTAGATAGCTTTAAGCCTCAGAGACAAGTTTGCGTTGAGGCGGACAGACGGACAAACGAACGGGCAGGCGTACATGGCTATATCGACTGATCAAGAATATATATACTATTATATTACTATTATATATATACTATTACCTCTAGAATGGTATAACAAAGGCGAAAACCTGTCACCTAAGGAGGGTGCTCACGCAACCCCAGACTTCCTGTCCCGGCTACCCAATTTTTTGGATGGACTACCCGTAACCCGGACAGCCAGAAAGATTCGGCTCAAACCGGGTTGCCAAAAAATGTATAAAATAAATTCACTTTTGCACTGACGCAGCTCCCTCGACTGCGCAGTCGCCGCTGGGACATCGACATCGAAATCGTCGGCAACGGCGACCGCGACGTCGACGGAGCGCTGAGCGAAGGTGGAGCGTTCCGAGTTGGCGGCTCATTCGCTACGTGCTCGTCGAACCGCCGAGACGTTGAATTTCAATCCGCTGCCGCCTTCGTCGCGGGTGTGAGAAGTTACCCAGTTACCCTCAAAAAAGAAAAATACATAAAAATATTGGGAAGAAAACCTGATTTCTTCTAAAAAGTTGCATAAATAACACCATTTAATATGCACTTTTTTCTGCCGCGTTAAGCATTTCCTATCGAATTAAGGTGGCGTCCCAAAAGGTCAATCCACCATTTCCGTTTTGCCCCTCGCGTTTGTGTGATATCATATGATATGAAATGAAGTGAATTAAACCATCTAAGCAGTTTTCAATGAGTGCACACATTACGGAATTTCAATTACTTAGCCACTCGACGCGAAAGGCGTGGACTTCAAGGTAATTTTTAAGCAAACGAAATACAGGTGAAACAGTAACTCGATTCCCCATGGAATCCGTTGGTTGATTTGAGAGCGATAAGTTAAATGCCATATTAATAGCCAATTATTTAGTCACCAGCAACAACATCATCGTCATGAATTGTTCATTAGCAGGTTTTTCAGTATCGATAAGGTAAACACATGAGCCAAAACACATAGCAAAAGTAAATAGTCGGAAGAAACCCAAGCTATGGGAAAGTAAACAGAACTTTGTTTTAACAACGAACTGGTTCTTGTTTTATTAACATTAGAAAAGTGGGAAAAAATTAAAGTTTATTTCAATTGGTGGGGAGATGATACTAGTACATAAGTAAAAGGAAATAGTCAGGTGTGTTTCATATATTTACAATCGCTATTGTATTCAGACGAAACAGTTTTATTCTATGAGATTACTAAATAATTACAGCAACTGATTGATTTAGATTTTTTTCCCTTTTTTTCTCTCTGAGATATATGGTTTAATCTTCATTTAATTAGGGGTTTGCTTCTCTAACAATCTTCATTATTCTGACTCATTAGATTTATATAAACTTAAACAATATTTTCTCTACACAGAATTATCTCAGTCTCTGATTTTACTTATCGTAGCAAGTAAATATTGGAAACGCGTAATAAAATTAATGCGCAAAATATCTATATATTTGTGCAGCACTCAAGTTGAATCCCCCTCCATTCCCAAGGCACATCCAAGGCTCATATTATGTTTACATCTTGATACTCCAAACCTAAGCCAACCGTACAGATAAGGTTATATTCTTTTTTTTCGATTTTTTGCCTACTATTACGTATTTTATCTAGCAGATAAGATATGACCAGGCACATATATCTGTAGGTTATACCATAAATGACCAGTCTTGCTCCAATTTTGCGCAGAAACTTTTGATTTGGCTCAATTTTTTGATGGGTTTTTTTTTGTTTGGTCAAAAGTTGGCATGCAATGGGGCAACCAATGGGGCACAAATTATAACATACGAGTTTGGTTGGTCAGATATAAAGTTTGGGTGCAATTCTTGCCATGGCAACCTGTCCGCCAGCCGGTCACAATAACAAAGTCCGCCACTCCGGCCGGAGTTGTTTGCCACCCAACAACAATGGCAATTCCTAGCCAGGACAACCCGTACCACCCCCTGTCCAGGGAACACTGGTTGTCCAGCTGGGTGCGGCTTTAATGTCTGGCGTCATGATACCATTTTTAGCCCGCGTTTCCCCAGAACTTTCGCTGCGGCTCCTTTCAGTGTGTTTAATCGATAAACCCGAAACGAGTGTAGGGAAAACTCTGGTATTTCCCATTTTCATTTGCCATTTGTCTACTAATTGCAGATCGGGGCTAAGTAACTGATTTATGGGTAGGAGTAGGGAGGCTTCACGTTGGAGGCGGAGAGACCCAGGCCCCACTGTTTACCATTTTTTTTTTGTTTGAGCTCGTTAAGTTCGCTGTTAATTAGCGTTTGGAATTTCGCGACGCAGTTGGGAAGCGAAATATGTAGTCTTAGGTCTTAGCAGGTGTATATTTTATGAATAGCCTGTGGTGAAAGATTAACTAAGTACAAAGCCATACATGTTTTATATGTAGCTTGACACAGTTCCTAAAAAACATTATTGACTTTTTGTAAGAAATTGTGGAGGCAAACTAACTAATTTCTAAAGTAAAAGTTTTAGGTAGGCAAACAAAAATAATTTATTTAGAAATTAAGTCTGAGAAGCCGTTGTGTAAATCTATAATAAACCCAAAACGGTTTCACAGAAAAATATTCCAAGTTTATTAACAATTAAAACATCCAAATCTCAATCATCATTTTAGTTATGCCTGAAAAACAAATAAATATTTTCTTGTATCCTCAAAATTCGTGAACTAAACATTTTTGTGACTTGCGAACACTTACAAATTATAAATCGATCCAAAATTACTTTTAAGAAAACTAAGTAACTTAAAACCGTTTCAAAGAAAGGTATTCCCATGTTGTTGAACAATTGAAACATTCAAACTCTCAATCAACATTATACTTTTGCCTGGAAATTAATTAATTATTATGATTTCCCTTCACTTCCAAAATGCCCCTTATTTCTATATCGGAAAAGCAAAAAACGCAAGCTTATGAGTATTTCACAGTTGGTAAGCTATTTGCCATGCATATTTGCAACGCTCCAAAAAGTCCAATAAACGGCAATCACAAGAGGCAGCAGAAAATGCTTTTCCACTGCTTTCGGCGATGGCAAAAGCAAAAGATTTGCATAAAAGCACATACTATTCGGATGGAAACACTGATGTGTAGTCACTATACACCGCAATTAACATCAAACTCGAGTAATTTACATGCGAGTATTATTGACAAAGCCGCTCGACTCGTCTCGTCTCGTCTCGTTCTCGGCATTAATTTGAAATTGAGATCCGAACACGCCTCTGAAAATGTGTGCCTGGTTTTGTTTCAAGATTCTGGGTAACCTTCACGAGATCGCCGAAGCCGGAGACTGGAGTGACGTGTTGACGACTTCTAAACAGACTCACCAAGCTCAAATGATTGCCAAATGACATCAGCGTGGCTAACAAAGCGAAATAGTCGACTGTGACTACGTTTTACGGCTTTCTTTCGGGCCGCAAGCGAAAGCTTTTAAATTGGCCAAAAACTTTGTATTAATAATGGCACCTAACGATTCATCTGCGGTTAATCGGTTTCTGGTAATTTGAGTGGAACTTACCCGCTAATAGTGCGGTTTCGAAGGGTGGCAGGTTTCACATTTCCCCGGTTACAACCAATAAGTCAGGTTGTTAAAGTGCTGACAAATTGCCCGACAATGCAGCTGCCGAGGGAAAACAACTTTAATTGATTCGGTTGAGTGGCAAATAAATGCTCATGTCGATCGATTGACTCAATCAGCCGTCGATTTTTCTAATGCCGAAGCTATGGAAATAGAGATCTGTTTTCCATATTGGTACAACCATGTAAATTATATGATTAAGCTTAGAAATTATTCCTTAGGTGCACTTTATGTGAGGTGATTAAAGACCACTGATTGGATAATTGAAACACTAAATTCAAAGTTGAATAAATTCATTGTTGAATAAACAATCTTTTATAAGAAGAATGATTGGTAGTAGCCTATATTGAAGAAAATCATTTTCTGAATTAATGGCGAGTTTCTAAGATCAAGTGCTATTTTTTTTGAGAGTTTAGTAAGAAAAAAAGTAAGTAAAGGAAGAACATCTGTTGACTCTTCTGCAATTGCACTTATCAAATAAGAACTGATAAAATAGAGAAAGAAACTGAAAAGAAAACGATACTGTGGGTCAACACACATGTACGATAAGGTACCCCCTTCCACTTCACCAGAGATCTGAGTAAACTGACACCTTTTCACTACAAGATTGGAACACTAAGCGACCTTCCCCTTCTTTGTTACTGTGCCAAATTGAAAGTGATGCAGAATGCTCCAGTATACATATATGTATACACATATAGAGAGGCGTTTGTGGCAGCCACTTTTGAAGGTGAGCCTGTCCAAATGGAACGACAATGCTGCACTTGTTAGGCCCCAGACTTGGCGACTTTAAGACTCGGAGGCGACTCGCGACAGCTGTCACAGCTTTGGACAAATTCCAAAGTGGAAACCCAAGACAGAGAGCTTTTGTTTACATTTGGTTCAATGCTCTTGTTCTAGTTTGGAAACTATGCAGCCAGCACATGTGTGCTATATTCGTAACTTGTGACTATTCCAAACTTAGTTCAAGAAACTCCCATCTCACTTTGTCATCATTTAAATTGAAGTGTGTGAGCTTTAAGCTTGAATTTTTTGAAGCGTGGGAGCTGCATATGAATTTGTATATGAAGTAAGATCAAGATAAAGTTCGTCAGCGTCTTGGAATGACTTGAGTGGGTGGCAAAATGTTGATGATGAACATGATAATGTGGCTGGGATATTAATAAATAAATAAATTAGCTTTATTTGGAAACCAGTTTCGAAGAGCCCCAGCACGACTGTTGTTTTTCGGTTATTGTTTGAGTACGCTTTTAACTTAATATACCCGAAAAACACTCTCATCTTATTTACAAGCACGGAACTCAAATAACTGAAATCTCAAATGCCATTACTCACTTGATTTTCCAAGCGGATTCAGAGCACGTTCTTGAGAGGATCAGCAGTCGTTAGCCCTATCCCAATATGGTCGATATGAATGTGACTGTTCCGAGTCACTTCATATGCACAACAGAGAATCATCGAATTTGAAAGGGTGCGGCAAACCTTTCAACTCAAATTATGCACAATAATCTTACATAAATTTTGAGGTCTTATCTATGCGTAGAGCAGCCCGACACAAACTGGTAAATTGGTATTGGGATGGAGGGGCACATAAATTAACTCGGGAACATGTAAAAATCGAAACGAGTTTATCGCTTCAAGTGAACCCAACAATTAGCCAACAACAAACTTGTTCTATATAGCATACGGCATACGGCGACTATTGTCGACGCGTATTAAGATTTATTGATTTAGTTGTTGCCTAACATAGATATAGACAGGCGTATTATTAGATTAGATTATCTGGATATATAAAGACATCTTCAGGTCAGAGAACATGGTCAAGTGTGGGTTGAAATGGCAGCTTATTATAATGACTATTTGATTGTTAATGAGTTGGTTATTATAATGGATTTAACCTTGGCTATTTCTAATGATCATGGTTTGCAATTTATTAATTATTTCCACTACTTGTATATTTGTTTCTACTCTTTCGGGTTTATTAATGATGTACCCTGAAAAAGTTTCTCTCTCGAGACGTTCAGTGTGCAATTTTGGAACTTGGAGATGTCTCAAATTGTGGGAACACACACAAAAGATCTTCAATTGCCTTTAATGTTCACTTTCATTTCGCAATTAAGAGAGGCTGAGTTCTCGCGGTTTTATTTTTAGTTTTTCAGTCTCGCTTCAACTGCGCTTCAACAAACCGGGAGACATCAAGTCGAAAGCAAACTTTAGTGGCTGAAACGAAAATGTAACGGTAATTAATTGGCTTATTAGGAAAACCAATTCAATCACCCTTACTCTCACTCTGTTTCCCCCTTTTTTTTTTTTTTTCGTTTTTTTTAGTTTTTTGCGATTGCGTGAGCCAAGCCCGAAAAATTTGTGAAATCGCAATCTAAGTTTAGACGATTTCATCATATTCTCTGCTTTGCGTATCCACTTGTGGTCTTTTGCAAATTAGCTAATATGCGCTTAGCCCCATTGGTGAATGTTTGTTGGGTTTTTCAGTTCTGTTTGAACGTCTAATTTTCCGAAAACTTGTTGAAAAATGAGTAAAAATCAATACGTAAACAGGCTAACAGATTTAAGTTTTTTTTGTATGTTTAGTTGTTTTTACAGAACAAATAGGATAGAATTAATTTTTAAAACAGGTTAAACAAATCTATAAAAGATGAATCTTTTGTTATTACGACTGAAAACATTTCATGGCTGGTTTTCTTTATTATGCTTAGTAATTTTTAAAAAAATAGATAAATATTTAATCAATTTATAAAACAGGTTTAATAAACTATAAAAGATATAACTCTTATTATTACGACTGAAAAAATTTGAGTTTTCAGAAAACATATGTATTTTCGAGGTGTTACCTAAAACCTGCTCTCTAGTTATCATGATATATCGCAATCTGCCAAAACCACTTGCTTAAAATTCATATCTCACGCTCTGACCTTTTGCAGATATTCATAGAAACAAACGACAACGAACTTAAAACGGGGGAGTAGAAGGGGAAACCCAGCGAACAAACTCCAATTGCAACTCTCGGATATCCAACAGCAATTGCAGACCCAAAATTATAAGCCAGCCGCCGCATTTCCATTGGATTTTGGTGGAAACTTGCGACTAACAAAGCGAATTTCAAATGTGAACCAATCATACAACAAAAACCCAAAATAGCGTGCATGAAAAAAAAGATATTGTTAAAACAACAAAAGAAACATTAGGCAAAATTGTTTCCAAAGCCTTTTTGTATTTTTTTTTTTTTGAAAGTGCAGTGAAAACGAAATATGATTAATTAGCAATGCGGCAAAATCATTAATGAATATTAAGTAAAGCACAAAAAAAAAAAACGGGAAAAGTAAAGAAAAAAAAACTTGCATTTGGAGCAGAAGAGAGTTTGGCGCAATTTTAAATGCCGGCGACTAAAGACGCGTTCGCGTTTTAACTTGCCCAAAAACAGGCGGAAGAGTGATAGCCAAATAAAAAGCGAGTTCGTTGCATAAATTTCGCGGGTGTCTATGTGAAAATGGCCACTTCGGAGCAGAGCAGGCGGCCCCTGGAGCCGATCTTCATCGCCACGCCGCCACACACCCCGCTGCTGCACCACCATAGTTCCATCACGCGCACCACAACGCCCCGTGAAATGCCCACCATGTACCACTTCGATTTTGGTAAGCCATTACAACCCACTTTGCCCATTATAACTGTAGGTTTATGAGCTTATTAATCGATTCCCTATACTAAAATTGAAAATTCATTTATCTAAAAGGTAAAAAATTAAGGTATTTATTATCAGATAAAGACCAATTTTACTAAATTTCTTTACTGAGTTCCATTTTTCCGTTCCATTTTTCAAGCACAAAAATCAAATGGTGTTTTAAATAAACATCAATTTAGTTTTCAAATGAAACAAATTTAAAATTTGGAATGATTATTAGTTTAAATTTTCTGCACAGAAATAACTTTAAGTCAGCCTAGACTGACTTAATTTTAATAATTTAATGTTTCCATTTTTTTGAGCATTTGAAATATATTTTTAATTATTACATATATAAAGGATATTAATTGATATTATATTACAACATAAATTATTATCTAATATCAATTATATCACAATCAAAACCATTTTTTTTCTGTGAAGCTTGGAAAAAATGCATACAATATAAATGCAAACAAATATTCATGGCACTTCCGCGCAGGCGCACAAAATCTCCGAAAAGCACTTGGCATGCAGCCCCAGGCAAAGAAACTCCAGCTGTGTTAGAGGAAGTGTTTAGGCAACCACTTAAAGCCAATAACCAAGAGGAGAGAAAAGGGGCCGATTTGAATTTATAATGAACTCAATGAAGCATGAAGTCACTTTTTACGACCAAGAAAACATGGTATTCAAATTAAGTGGTGGAGAACAAGCAAAGGTTATTAAAAATGTTTGTAAGAACCCATAAAATCGTGTAGTGTGAAAGATTTTAAAGGGAATTATCCGGCGGATATAGAAAATGTACAATAATAACTAAATAAAAAAATAAAAATACATGAAACATAAAAAGAATAGGGAAGATTATGGACTAGAATTATCCGGCGGATATACAAAATTATTAATAAAAATAAATAAGAATAAAAATTTATATAACTTTGGGGGTACAGTATAAATTAAAAAATAAATTTTAAACAAGTTATGGTCATAAAAAATCAGACGGATGTGAACTCCTCCTGAAAACACAAATAAAAGCCAAAAATTATATTCAAAGCTCCGCTCATTAAAAGAAACCGCTTGAATAAAACAAAACCCCAGCTTTCTATCACCCAAAGTCCCCCAGATGACATCAGTTATTATTGCAAATACCATATAGTATGTATTGCAAAAATAAATAAGCAAAACGCACACAAAGCTTTCAACCAAATCAAAAAACAGAAAACGTGGAAGGCATTTAAAAAAAAAAAACAACAGAGAATAAACACATAAAAACAGAAGCCAAGCAATTGACAACAACAGCAACTGACATATCTATGTCAATTTCCATTTGCAGTAAACAACAAAAGAGCCCCAAAAAAAGAATCAAATAAGTTTTAATTAAATTAAAGAGAAGCCCAAAACAAGAAATTCAAGTTAAGTTTTGCGCAGCAATCGAGAATAATTCAATTTAAGATTGACAGAAGCAAAAAGCTTAGCTCAAGTTATAGCCCATATTTATATGGCCGATAAATATGCCAGCCGCTTGACAGAAATCGGGCTCAAATCCATTTTAGCCATGTCAGTCACGTCTGGCCGGGAGATTTGCGTGCCAGTTTTAACAAGTTTGCCGATAATGCTAATAAATAAGTACGAAAAACTATTCCATTGTCGCCCTACCAACTGTTATGGTAATCGTATGGGCCCATAAATACGGGACAAACGATAGCCAGTTGACCCACTTCCCTCGGCCCACTCGAATATCATTTCCCTCTCGCTGCTTATCCGCTGCATTTCCCTGACATTGAACCACATTTAGTGGCACCAGTTGTTTACTACAAATCCCATACAATCATATGTGTAGAATGAATTCCAAAGTCAAAATCCCAACCAGTTTTTTGTATCGGCATCTCATATAAAGGCGTTAATTGTGGTTCGCAATAACCAGTTTTCAAAGATCTTTGCAAGTCACTTTTCTGTTGGGGATGAGTTTTGCCATTGACAAATTTGTCAGTGATGAATTGCAGTTTCCCAATTAAATGTCCAATTGAAGTGGGTACGAATTTATGGCCACAAACAAACAATTTGAAACTTCCAAAAGCCGGCAAATGCAAAAAAGCTTGAAAAAGCTTTGAATTACAGCAGGTAACAGTGTTGCCGTGCGAAACGTATACTACTACTATTTTTTGTATTTTCAAAATATTAAGCAAATACAAAATAATTTTAAAAATATTTTCAGTTTAGATTTAATTACTTTTTTGAAGCAATAAAAAAATTAAGTAGTAGGTATTTTTAATAAAACTTAAACTAACTTTAATTCAATTCAAAACAAAAACCGCTCCTAACAGTTTAATTCGCCTAAAACGTAAAAAAATTTAAGTTTTACAAATCTTTAATATTAATAATTAGTTTTTTTTTACAATTCAAGCCGTTTTAACACCCTTGAAAAAATTGTGTTTACCATATTTAACAGACAATAAAATACAAAAAACCCTTTTAATAAATTAAAAAAGTTCAACCAAGCTTCAACAACAATTTGATTTGTGGAAAAGCGTACAACAAAATTTGAACGACATTAATAGTTTTGGAAATTGATTATTAAAATTACTTTTAATCGCCTGCCACACATGAAATCGTTTAAGACCTTTCAAATTTGATTTTAATTTGCTGAAATATGTTTTTGGTATCATAAGCGCCTCGCAAATGGAACTCTTAATCGTTTGGCTTCACCTACCGATCGATTTTGTTCCAAATCCAATTGAAAATTACCTACCTCAATTAACGGCCCAAATTCTCCTCACACTCCAAAATGCAAAACAAAAGATGGAATGGCTGAAAACACACAAAATCGTATTGGATACAAACACAAAAGTATTTCACACTTTCTAAACGGCAATCAGCACTGCCAGCAACAAACAAATCAACTTCAATTTGTTGCAACAACATCGAACTCGGCGAGTTACAAACAGAACCGAAGACAGAAACAAAAAACACAAAAGTAAAATGAAAACACAGGGAAAATTGTGCAATCTGCAAAATGCGTTCGGTGGAACAAACTCATACAAAACGGAAAAAAGAAACTAAAACATCTAGCGCCAATGAACTGAAATGGTTTCATTAGATGATCGAAGGGGCGATAGAGGGACCCATGGACGACTGACGACTGGAAGAAATAGAACTTAATTAGTGGAAAATACGACGGCACTATGTTGTTGATATGTGAAGTGTGCTTTGGTTGGGCAGAGAGAGATGGAGCATAGCTCAGTTGGAAAGAGAGGGGCAGGTGAGAATTCAGGAGCCACAGAATTGTCGCCTAGAGAGCAGTATCAAACACCAAGTCCCTAATACACTACAGCACCATATTTATAGATCTTAGAAGCACACTCCTAATGAGTAATAGGGTTCGTCTAAAGTTAATCTTAAGAGTAAATTAAACTTGGCCTTCAGTTTGGAATACAATAGGTTTTGAAAATCTCAATGAAATCTTAAATTTGAAGAATTTATTATATCCTATTTACAAAGATTTTCTTAAAACATTTAGAAATCTTTTTTACTTATAAACTTATTGTTCATAATAACATACATATATTAGGATAATTGTATCATAAAACTTATAAAAAACACAAGACTACTAAAAACATTCTTAATTATTATATTTTTATCAGAGCTCCCAAAATAAAATTTTTTATTGGAAAACTTACCAACTTTTTAATTGGTTTGTTTACTTAGAAAATTGTCCAGACTAAACAAAAATTATTTACTAAGTACTTGTGCCGATACTAGTATTATATGATAGTACATTCACTTACCATTCTTTCATCGTTCTTACTAGTAGTAACCTCAAAGAAATAAAAAAGCAAATTAACTAAAAAACATATAATATTTTTGGGGACACATCCGTTTTCCTTATTTTTAGCAGTGCATAGGAAACATAAAATTTTAAGTTCACTATTAAAATATATAGTTTTTCGGTCGTGTCGCCGCCTTGCCCCCAAAACGCCATCCGCACATCATCTAGATTCTGAGTTCTAGAACTTTGACTATTTATAAGCACGCGCGCCCCTTTAAAACATCCTGAGGGCTTGCTGCTGCACCGTGAAAATCGTCAGAGCGAGATATATGTGTATGCAACAGATGCCCCATCCACTTAACCATATGCGCATAGGCAACTGCAACAGATTTTCTATTTTCGTTGGCGCTCTCGAAGCGTGACAATTATAAGAGATTATCCAAGACTCAAAGTCGCGACGCGTGGGCGACCACAAACGATGCCGCCTACACCCCAAAAATCACCCATTCCTCAAGCCCACCTCCTTTGGAAAAGGAAGTTGTTGGTTCGATAAACAAGATATAAATATAAATAACCGGGAATGGGTTACGACTCAAGTTCATGACTCAAACATAAAGTTCTCCTTCGCCTTTGGCACGTGCAAAAATCGAACTTTTGGTCTTATGTCAAGGCAACCGCAACTAAACTTGCATAAGAGAGTTCCACAGCCTGGTGACGTCAGCGGATGCTGAAATACATAAATATACACCGAGATTTATAGCATCAACAAATAGGGATCGTTTGGCTCGAGCAGAGCGATGCTCAAAAGTGCATTCGCATTTCAATTAAAAACAGAAACAGAGGCAGCGAACAGAGATGGAAAGAGGAGACGAATATGGCAAAGTTCACGTAGGCGAAATACGAATATGGAATGCACTGCAAACGACTGTTTATAGTCGCATGATAACCTTAAACATAAATTATTATAAACGAAAAACCCGCATTTAAAAGCAGAGTGGTTTCGAAATCAATTTATAAGGTGCCAAAAAGTATGCACTAAAAATATTAAAGTAGAATTTCGAAATTTATCAAGATTTTAAGTAAATTTTTCTTTACTTTTAAACACTTTTTTCACTACTTCAAAACCTTAATGATTTATGCGGCCCCCATATATTTGTATTTCAACGTAAAATTTGTAAAAACAAATTAACTTAAAGATACTTTGATTTATG